AAACACACAAAGCCCTGACAAGGACATAACAGTGATGTTTAAACTTAGGAAACAGTTCGGTTCCAGGCAAAACAAAAATTTAATAATATTATATAAGGATATGAGTTTTTGGAAAAATGTGCCTTAATATAGTTATCTGCTGTATTAATGATTACAAATTTTTCAGAGGTCAGTGTGGCAATGTCCTTCAAAACCTGTCCGTTCTACACCTAGGAACTGGTCCTAGAGATAAACCTGTATGACTCTGACATAGATATGAAGTCATTTGAGAAAATATGTAAAAGTCTAAAAATATCCAAAATATCCTTCTGTTTGAGGCTGGATATGTGAATTAGACTTCAATTATACAAATGAAACACATGCAGCTACTTAAAAAATGAGGTCTATCAAAATGTACAAACATGGAGCAATCTTCAAGAAAACACAAGTCAAAAATAGTATTGAATAGCGAATATAGTGTATTATTACTGTGCAAAAAAAGTGTATACATACAAGTGTGTCTATGCATAGAATGTCTCTGGTAGGATTCACAAAAAGCATTAACAGGGATTGACTGAGAATGAGTGGGATGTAGGGCACTGAGCAGAAACAAAACTTACCTTGTACTGTGTTCACTTTTATACCCTTTTAATGCTTATCCTCTACATGGATTACTTCTCCTTGGACAAGCAGTGCAACAGTTTTAATTGGTCAGTGAATGGGAAGCTAGTTCAATTCAGACCTAGTTCTGTGGATTGAAAAATCTAATAGAAATGGTTGTCTTCTAAGTGTTGAAGTGCTTATTTGTTGCAGCAGGTGGCAGTACTATCCACGATTTGACTTTGTCACTGGGCCCTGGAGAAACGGGGATTAATGTGGAAAATGGGCATTAAACGAGCACTCTGAAAATAATTGGAAACTCAGGCTTTGTGCTTTAGGCCTTCGGGTCTAAAGGGATCAGTTGAAATATTTTAGATTTATTACTTGCTTTTTGGAGTTTTATGCTGAAAGAAAACTTGGCGATCATTATATCCAAGAACCTGGTTTATTCTCAAATATTTGAGGCCAAAGGAGAAAAGTGAATTAGCTGATTATCTAGCAGGTACTTTGTGGCAGATCCAGGCAAAACCCAGGCCTCTCAATTGTTTTTGCCACCAAAAAAAAAAAAAAAAAAGATAGTGTGACTGACGTTGCCAATCAACTCGATTCTTGCTTTTTTAAATTTCAGGTTTCATCCATTTGACTCTGCCCTCATATTGCAGAAAGCACCATGCTAGTTTCTACGTACCAACATTTTTGTGGCCTGCATGAGCCTTTCCCTGTAGCCATTTATGAAACATGGCTCCTTTCCTCCTTTTCCCTTTAAAACAGTTCAGTGTCGTATTTGCGTAGTTCTCATTATATTAGCTTTACGGTGCTCAATCTTGTGATATCGTTTTTTCTCTTGTACTAAATATTGGTCTAATTGATTATTTCTCTGTGTGTGTGATTTCCCCCACTTCTTTAGTTATTGAGAAACTCCTCCCCCTTTGTTTTATAACATTGTTTATGGCGATTCATGTGCTTTCTCACAGCACAGGTCAATTGCACAGTGGCGATTGTTAGGACCAGTGTGCATATTCAGCTAGGGTCGAGACTCAGGAGGAAAGTTTTCTCTTTATGTACTGCTTTTTCTGTCTGACTGTAGTGTGACTGAGGTCTGTGGAAAATGGGTGCTCACTGGCACCATTAATCTCAACTTCCACCCAATGCTGAAACAATTAGGAAGAAGGTGGAGCAATAGCCAGCTGCTGCCTCCACCTGCCTTTCACCCTCTCTGTTTTCCTCCTACTCCAGTTAAAGGAGGCAGCAGAGGCAGGGAGTGTGACACAGGCTACGGAGGGAGGGTGGCTTGGTGAGGCAGTGGCCATAATTGTGGTGTTTGTCCAGCCCTATATTCTTGAAATTGCTTCAGTCCAACCCTTGCCTCCTGAGCTCTCTGACATCCTCTGGGTTAGGTCTACAGGAGTGAGGCACGTCTGTCTCATCAGCCCACAAAACCATGTGAGAGTCAGAACACATACATGTTAGCCTCTGTTCTCTCACATGTTCCGTGTGTTATTGAGGGCAGGAGAATGAGTTAAGTTGGTCACTGGGTCACTGGGTGGTAACAAGTTAAGAATTAGCTAATTCCTCATGTGTAAAATGTAGGCTTGGATTACATCAGAGTTTTTGAACTGGCACAAACATAAGAATCACCTAGAGCCTTTATTTAAAAATGTAGATTCTAGTATCTCTCCCTTGGAAATTCTGATTCAGAAAATCGGGAGTGAGGCCCAAATTTTATGTGCTTTTAATAAGAGACCCTCAATGTTTCTTATTATCAGAAGTGTCTGAAGATTTTTTTAAATTCCCCAAACCCTTAAACTTTATGATAAATTACTTAGGCTATTGCTCTCTTTTGCCTACTGGGTCCTTCCTATTTAACACTGCCCTTCCTCCACTCGAGCGTTTCGCATCAGAATCACTTGTGGAGGCTTTAAACACGTGCATGCTATTTCCCAACTCCAGCTAAAATTCACTGGCTGACAAATAGTATCTGCTCTTCTATACTACTGCTGTAATGGTTGTGTTTTTTTTGTTTTTTTTTTTTGTTGTTTTGTTTTTTTTTTTTTTTTTTTTTTTTTGTTTGTTTTGTTTTTTTTTTTTTTTTTTTTTTTTTTTTTGCCCCTTAGCATCCACTCTCCAACCTGCTCCACCTGCTCTTTGCTGAAGAAGGTAAACTTTTTAAACATTTTGATTTAATTTTACTTTAAGTTCCGGGATACATGTGCAGGATGTGCAGGTTGGTTACACAGGTAAACGTGTACTATTGTGGTTTGCTGCACGCATCAACCCATCACCTAGGTATTAAGCCGCACATTCATTAGCTATGTATCCTGATGCTCTCTCCCCCCACCCCTCTTACAGGCCCCAGTGTGAATTGTTCCCTTCCCTGTGTCCATGTGTTACTGGAGAAGGTGAACTTTAATGACACATTGAAGAGATTATTTGCCCTCTGACTTCCAGTTGGGTTTAGCCAATGGAAGGCATCAACAAGGGAGTAGAGAATGGGAGAAGAACAACATTGGAAGAAGGAACAACCCCATCACCTCCTGATTACTTACCAGATCACTGTGTTAGCTATGTCCCTCTGCTGCATCCCACAGCCTTGTCAAGGGCCCCTCCTTCATTATTCGAGCTGATATTTTAGGGTTGCTTTAGGCCCAGATTTGGCAATGGCTCCCATGCTGTTTCCAGCCCCAAGTTACTGTGCTAGCCTTTGCAGATTGCCACTAAATTTTCCCAAGCCTTTGTAAACAGTCCCTTTGTTAAACCTTTCCTTAATTACCCCATTTGGGATTGTCAGCGCTGTGATTTCAGGACTCAGATGAGAACAATGATTTATTTCTTTCACATGTGTTGTTCATACATTGAGGGGCTTCTTATTTTTTATTTAAAATAATAAAATGATAGGAATAGTAATGATAGGATTCTAGTTATTGGAAGGGCTATAAATTATGTCTACTCCAGCTTACCCACAAATGCTGGACCCTGGCATGAAAGAACTCTGCTTCTTTCTGCTTCACCATTACTTTTTAAACAAGATCTGGTGCATTCAGGTTGTTACAGCTCTGGACCTTTACAACTTGTCAAATATTTGCTGGCAATGAACGTTTTCTTCTTTCAGCTAAATGTTGTCAGTTCCTTCAACAATTTCTCATGTAGCATAGTTTCTAGATTCTTCTTTATTTAGCCATTGGATACATTTCTTTGAGTGCATTCTGTTTTGTCAACATCATTGCTTCATTTTTAAAGAAATATTTGCAAAGTAAGCCAAATGTGAACCAGAGTCTCACCCGGCTGGAGAAGAAGCCAGTCTTTCCTGACTGGGATAAACTGAAGACACCAGCTGTCAAATGGAGCAGCTGACTTGAAGGACAAGGATTAGCTTTGGAAGGAGAGAAAATACATGCCTGGATGGAGGCAGGAATTCCTGCTGAAGGAGGAAGCATACATTTCCACTGGGCCTCTTTGCATATCATGGTTCCACTTTTGAATCTATACCTCACTTTTTCTTTTGTACTTCTAATTTTCTGGCCAGAAAACAACTTGATCATTGGTGTGAAATGATTAACACAGACCCTGTAGCAGCGCTCCCCTAAGACCACCAAGTCACAGAATTTATCACTACCATGAACCTTAGATTATCTGATTCAGGTAAACTTGAAGGCACAAAGGGTGAGCTCTTTTCCAAAATTACATAGCAATTGACTGGTAGAGACAGGATTAGAACCTGAATCTCTTGCTTCTCTATCATCCTGTCTCTCTCTTCAGTTAATTTACTCCATTCTTTTACCACAGATTTCGAAACTGAAATGAAGAAATTCATACTGTTAGTTCCAAAGCATCCAAGTCACACAGAGGCAGCGTCTGAGTTGCATAATTGCCTTGAAAGTATTGGGAAAAGGTAGGTATGAGCACATCACATTGACACAACTTCAGAGGTGAAGCAAACCATCATTTTATTTAGAGGGTCAACTGCCTATCATTTGCATATGAGTCTAAACCTTATAGGATATAAATATTTTCAATTTGACAGTTTAAAGGTGATTTACTACAGATATACACAAAGCACGCAATGTATGTAACTCCTGTGACTCCTATTTTAAGCCATTGGACGAAATAATTTCATTATGGAAATGCTGTGGAAGGAAACTTTCCTCAACCAGACTATCGAAAAGAAGGCTCACATTGTCAGAATTCTGAGTTTAAATCTCCAGTTCCTCACCAACTTAGAACTTTACAATTTAGAGCTGCATGAGACTTTTGGAATAACCTAGCTCAATAAAATTGAGAGCCAGAAAGTATACAATTTACAAACTTACAGCATTCAAATCTTAATTCTATGCTGTTTTGTAAGCAGTGCACTTATTTCCTGGATGACTGTGCCTTCTTTGTTTAATTGATTTTCAGAACACGGCATCAGATATTTCCATGTAGCATTTAATACAATTTCACCGACATTCAAGGTAAATATCTCCTTTGGTAAATAAGAGAAGGGGAGTGACATAAATGTTGTCTTAAAAGTCTGCTATTAATCATAATGCATGCCTAGCAAAAATAGATTTAAAGGACTTACACATAAACAAAATGCAGAGAAATACTGATGACTTCTAACAAGCTGGCAGGAAAAGGTGGTCAAGTTTGAAATGCATCCACTATTTTGAGCTGTACTCCAAGAGAGATTCTGACAGTAAGAGAACTCTTAGTAGTAACTGATAGGAAATGACCTTGAAAGTCAAAGAAACCACTTCCAATCAGCTGAATTTCAAGACTCTGGCAGATCAACGGGGCAAAATCAACAGGGCAGATGCAACCAAAATTACAGCAGATGTCGTTGAGAGTGGCCGAACCTCTGGCACCTCAAATAATCCCAAACTGAGCGAGCTCATGCAATTCCAGGTGGCTGAATGCCTCCCACGGGCAAATCACCGTGATATCTGCAAGAGATGGAAGAAGGGCATGTAAACTAACCTCTCCCCAAAGAGAGCCTCTTCACAGAAAGTTGCCCTTCAGGCAGACACACCTCACTCCTCTCTCCTGCTCACTGTCCCCTGACTGGGAAGTTACCTAGAATGGCCCTGCAGCCCAGGAAGGATCAGACCAATTGCTTAATTGTTGCGCCAGGCATCTCTGTTGGTTTCACTCTGCTTCCTCTTTGGGGAGGTGATCCACAGCTTTTGACTGAGGGTTTCCCTGTGGGGTACAGCCCACTGATCACACAGAGTCTCCCCAAAGCACAACCACTAAGGAGGAAGCAGAAGTGGAATTCTAGTCGGGCCAAGGGTTAAAATGAAAAAGAGGAGTGCTTTGAATCCCCATGGTCTAGGTATTCATAGTCTTCCCTACCAATCTAGATCAGTCCCTTCTCTAATTGTTCTTCTGCTCCTTTACGTTTTGAATTGCCTATATACAATCACATATTGAGAAATAATCACAAGGCATCTTTTAGTCTAGCTTCTTGTTTTAGGCAATAAGATACTACTATCCCTGAGTTACAAAGAAGCTTGCTGACACCCAGAGAGATGGAATAATTAGCAAAACCCACATAGTTGTAGAGATAAGACTAGAACCAGGTCTCTGCTCAGTATAAACCTCTTTACGTTACTCCAAATACACTGTCAGAGTCAAGCATATCTTCCAGATCCCAAAGCAAATTTGCTGGTCTTGTATGCACCTTGCCAAAATATGAAAGCAGTTGATCTAGGAGAATAGCAAATATACTATTAATGTGGCTGGAAAATTCATTCGAGGTGCTAGGAGTGGTATTAGGCTGCAGAAAGAGACACTGAGGATTACCTGGAAAGGACACTGATTACTACAAGTGCTGCCGTTTATCAAAGGCGTGTGGGATGATTTCAATATATGTCCACACAAGAGCCTGTACATAAATATTTAGGGCCATTTTATTCATTCTTGCCAAAGCTTGGAAGCAACCAAGATAACTTTCAATAGGATAAAGAACTGTGTACATCTCTACAATGAAGTATTATTCAGTGATTTAGAAAACTGAGCTATCAAGCCATATAAAAATGTGAAGAAACCTTAAATGAATATTGTTAAATGAAAGAAGCTAGTCCAGAAAAGCTATATACTGTATGATTCTAACTACATGAGATTCTAGAAAAGGCAACACTACAAAGACAGTAAAAGGTTAGTGAACGTCAGGTGTTTTGAGAGAGAGAAGGGTGACTAGGTGGAGCATAGGGCAGTGAAACTATTCCGTATAATACTATATGTACTACAGTACGTACTATAACGGTGGGTACATGGTATGACACATTCATCAAAACCCTTAGAACTTTACAACACAAAGGATAAACCCTAATATAAGCTACGGACTTATTAATATCCTATATCAATATTGGCTCATCACATATAATCACACTAATACAAGATGTTAATAATAGAGGCAACTGTGTAAAAGGGGAAGGAGGTGGTAGAGAAGACATACAGGAACTCTGTACTTTCTGCTTAATTTTTCTATAAATCTTGAACTTCTCCAAAAAATAAAGTCTATTAATGTTTTTAAAAAATACACAGTAGTTGCATTCATTGTATAAAGAAAAAATACGGTGGCCAATTTTAAAAACTATATTGCCGGCATTCAGTGTGTAAGATCCTCCTCTGGGTGCTAGAGGATGTGTAAAAAGAAGTTGTTAAGGAAGTGGTTTGCGTGGTAGAGTGGTGAGATCTCCAGGCCTCATCCTTATTTCCAATGGTTCACCCTGTAGCCACAGACGAAAGATTGTCAATTCCTCTATGTCCCAGATTTCTCTCCTGAAAAATGAAGTTGGGCTAGAAGAATTATGACATGCTTTCTACCATAAAAGTCTGTAATTCATCATTATATGCCCTCAAAGATTGTTTAACAAAACAAGAGGATTTATGAAACTTTGGGCCTAACCCGATTTCTTTTAGAGTTTTTGTATCTGAGCACACATGTACTTATTTAGGAGAGTAAATTAAATCCTAGATTTTTATGTCTTCACAGATCTTCTGCCTTCGGTATTTCTCATAATTTTCAACTCCTCCTTGAGGCTTGAAGTATATAAAAAGGCAGAACTCCAAGTGCCACGTTCTCACTTAAGTCAGTGGATGGCTTACCTGTTCCTAGACCCTCCATTCCTGGAATGTCATCTCCAAATCTATGGAAGAAAATAAAGAGGAAATTAGCTGAGATTAGGGCGAAAGAATTTTGGAGTTACTCGCATGTAGAGTTTCTTGATTCAAGGCGGAAAAAGGAGAGGTTTAAGTGTTTGTGTTTGAGAGACTTCTTTTGTTTGCACTGAACTGCAGCAAAGAAAATGTCACTCAGGCAATTTTGGTGTATCCCAGTGGAGAGGTATTTCTCTCCTATAGGAACTTAACCTAAAACAATTAAGAGTCAGAAAAAGGCCGGGCGCGGTGGCTCACGCCTGTAATCCCAGCACTTTGGGAGGCCGAGGCGGGTGGATCACGAGGTCAAGAGATCGAGACCATCCTGGTCAACATGGTGAAACCCCGTCTCTACTAAGAATACAAAAATTAGCTGGGCATGGTGGCGCGTGCCTGTAGTCCCAGCTACTAGGGAGGTGGAGGCAGGAGAATTGCTTGAACCCAGGAGGCAGAGGTTGCGGTGAGCTGAGATCGCGCCATTGCACTCCAGCCTGGGTAACAAGAGCGAAACTCCGTCTCAAAAAAAAAAAAAAAAAAAAAAAAGAGTCAGAAAAAACTAATCAACTTAATTAAGTTTCACTTTTTATAATAAAAACTGAAATGAGAAAGCAATACGAAAGGCAATAAAAATGATGAATTCATCCATTTGTTTACTTGTTCAAAATCATTAACTAAGCATCTACTATATACTAGACATTTTATTAGGCACAGAGAGTTAAGAAAAAAACAGACAAAATTTCTGAGTAGTCTTAGTCTCAGAAAATAGATACAAATAAGTAAATGTAAGATAATGTAAGTTAAGATACCTGAAGGTACAAAATACAAACATGAAAGTAATGATAAAGTTTGTTAAAGAGAGTCAATGGGCTCACACCTGTAATTCCAGCACTTTGGGAGGCCAAAGCAGGCAGATTCATCTGAGGTCAAGAGTCTGTGACTAGCCTGGCCAACATAGTGAAAGCCCAGCTCTACTAAAAATACAAAAAGTTAGCTGGGTGTAGTGGTGGGCTCCTGTAATCCCAGCTATTTGGGAGGCTGAGGCAGGGAGAATTGCTTGAATCCAGGACGTGGAGGTTGCAGTGAGCCAAAATGGCATCACTATACACCTGCCTGGGCGACAGAGCAAGAATCCGTCTCAAAAAAGAAAAAAAAAAAAAACACAGAGAGAGAGAGAGAGTCAGTGGTAGCTTCAAAAAGAAATTAGCATATGAGTTGTGTGTGTTGAAAAATGAATAGGATGTCGCCAAGGAGAGGAAGAAGAAGATGAAGAACTGAGGACATAAACTAGGAAGATGTAAATATAAGCTATATTTTCTGGAAATGTTCGGCGGTTCAGTGTTACAGATTAAAGCAGAGGCTATGTCAGTAAAGAGGAGTGGTCCTAAAAGGCCTGGAGGGCCAACTGGAAGTTTACTGTAGTAAAAGCCTCCATTTGCCATGTTAATTTTGGCCACAAACCTGGAAGTTGAGAAGGAAAGAATTCCAGGGATAAAGACACAATTCATCAAAGATCGAATTACAGAGGAAAAGACAGGATGGGGTGGAAATTTTTGTAAGTCTGTTTAATGTTGTGAGCCCGTTTCTCAAAACAAAAGCAATCATGTGGGGAAAAGAAAGTAATAGAAAGTTTTTCTTTTCATTTTGGTCTTACCCTTTCACACCTTTCTTTGGAGGTTTACTCTTGAATTGGCGAGTCTGCCTCTGCTTGAACTTGGGAGGGCCTTTGCGTGGGGTGGTAGGACCCTGGTTTGAAGCTGGAGCAGCCAGAACAGTGTTATCGCTCATTTTAACAGCCCCCAGCCACCAGATGTTCCCTTTCAGCCTGCTTAGATAGAGAGAGAGAGAAAAAAATAAAATCCTTCAAGTCATGGAGATGATTGGTTATTAGATCTTCATTTTAGGCTGGAGAAGAAAAGTATTTCAATAAGAAACCTCAGTATTTTGTGTTGACACAAAAGAGAAGTTATCATCTTCTCAAAGGATCTTTTAAAAAACAGAGTATAAATCAATGCAGGCACCTAATGTAATGGAGTGTAAACTTACACTCTGCTACATTACTTACACAATCTATTAGTTGTGTAAATGGACAATAGATAGATTTTAAAATTTAAAAATCTAAGTAAACATGCTGTTCTAATAGATGCACCACTGAAAAAAATTTAAAAATTAATAAATTAAATTAAATCAAAGCTTCACATTGGGCATAAAAAATTTTAAATTTAAATTTTAAAATAAATAAATAAAATAGATCTGCCACAAGTGTTCTATGTGGATTTATTGTGATGCTGTATTTCTCTGTGACTACCAGTTCTACCAGTTATGAAGAGAGGAAAATACACTCAGTGATCTCTATATTCTCTTATAGCACCTGCAGTCTCTTTAAGCTTTTCATATTCCTCCATCCAGTTAGAAAACAACCTGACTCTAAATGTTTCTTGAGTATTTTTCATGGCCTATTTTTTTTTAGAGTCCTTAAAGTTCTTATAGTCTAAGATAGGATTATTTTGTTTCATTCTCATGTGAACCAGAAACTTTTCTCTTAGTTCTGGGAGATGACAATGTAGTCTGAGGACAATGTAATCAGAGGACCCCTAAAGCAGGGGTGACAATGTCATAGTTCTGGGAGGTGACAATGTAGTCAGAGGACCCCTAAAACAGGGGTGACAATGTCATAGTTCTGGGAGGTGACAATGTAGTCAGAGGACCTCTGAAGCAGGGGTGACAATGTCATAGTTCTGGGAGGTGACAATGTAGTCAGAGGACCTCTGAAGCAGGGGTGACAATGTCTTAGTTCTGGGAGGTGACAATGTAGTCAGAGGACCCCTAAAGCAGGAGTGACAGTGTCTTAGTTCTGGGAGGTGACAAGATAGTCAGAGGACCTCTGAAGCAGGGGTGACAATGTCATAGTTCTGGGAGGTGACAATGTAGTCAGAGGACCTCTGAAGCAGGGGTGACAATGTCATAGTTCTGGGAGGTGACAATGTAGTCAGAGGACCTCTGAAGCAGGGGTGACAATGTCTTAGTTCTGGGAAGTGACAATGTAGTCAGAGGACCCCTAAAGCAGGGGTGACAGTGTCTTAGTTCTGGGAGGTGACAAGATAGTCAGAGGACCTCTGAAGCAGGGGTGACAATGTCATAGTTCTGGGAGGTGACAATGTAGTCAGAGGACCTCTGAAGCAGGGGTGACAATGTCATAGTTCTGGGAGGTGACAATGTAGTCAGAGGACCTCTGAAGCAGGGGTGACAATGTCTTAGTTCTGGGAAGTGACAATGTAGTCAGAGGACCCCTAAAGCAGGGGTGACAGTGTCTTAGTTCTGGGAGGTGACAAGATAGTCAGAGGACCTCTGAAGCAGGGGTGACAATGTCATAGTTCTGGGAGGTGACAATGTAGTCAGAGGACCTCTGAAGCAGGGGTGACAATGTCATAGTTCTGGGAGGTGACAATGTAGTCAGAGGACCTCTGAAGCAGGGGTGACAATGTCTTAGTTCTGGGAGGTGACAATGTAGTCAGAGGACCCCTAAAGCAGGGGTGACAGTGTCTTAGTTCTGGGAGGTGACAAGATAGTCAGAGGACCTCTGAAGCAGGGGTGACAATGTCATAGTTCTGGGAGGTGACAATGTAGTCAGAGGACCCCTAAAGCAGGGATGACAATGTCTTAGTTCTGGGAAATGACAATGTAGCCAGAGGACCCCTAAAGCAAGGATACCAACACCCATGGACATGTTGAATATATCTTAATACACAAGCACATAGAGAAGTTAATGCAGTATGATTGAGTAATATGTTTGTGCTTTTCAACTCCACATCCAGGGGTAAGATTCTTCACCCGCCTTTTTGACAAATCTTCGATGCTTTCTTCTATCTATACATAGGATCTATCCAATATGGTTTCTCAGACTTTAATTTGGCTGCAGAAGTGCACATTGCCATTCTTCAAATACAACTCAAAGAAGATTATTGAAAAAGATAAATTTTAAAAATCGTGTCATTTTGGATGACATTATTTTCTTTCTTGTTTTCTTTCATAAGAGTTAACAAAACTTGCTCTTAGAAGGCAGATCCTGAAAAGCCCCAAAGAATTCTAAATTGCTTTCGCCTCTTACCCTGAGCCAATCTCTTCCATAAAATCTAGTGTGTGGGAGACTTTTCTGCAGAGGATTCCTTATTTTACCCATTACAGATTTATGCTAATATTCTTTTTTCTTTTAAGAGAGACAAATTCTTGCCCGTCACCCAGGCTGTAGTGAAGTGGTACAATTGCAATCATAGCTCACTATAGCCTCAAACTCCCAGGCTTAAGCGAGCCTTCCACCTCAGTCTCCCAAAGTGCTAGGTTTACCGGCATGACCCACCACACCAGCTTATGCTAATATTGTTCGCTGCAAACCTCCCTGACTGTCTTTGGCTCATGCTAACAATGACTCTCTTTAGTGGCCACACTGCATATCCCTTATGCCTCATATTCTATAACTTCAAGTTCATACTGCTTTCTTATTTCTTTCAAAATTGAGCTGCAATTAGTATCCTCATCTCCAATATTTTTTTCTTATTTAAATTCTGATTATTATTAAATGATTATCTTTGCCAGTACCCGGAATGGTGAGACTGGCCAGAACCCTGGACCACCCGCCCGTGCTGTGATTCCTGCCTTTATCCCCCACTTGAATCACTTCATGAGGCTGCCTTTCCAGTCCCAGAAACAATAACAGTGCCAATGCATGGTATATAGTAATTATGCCATATATATTATAATTGTCAAATAATTTTATAAATTAATTTAGAAATTGAACAAATACCGTAAACCTTCATGAGACCCTGACTTTTTGACGTCTCCATCAGACCATAGAGAAGTCATTAGCTTTCAGGCTTTAGGAAATGCACTGCCAGTTCCTCTACTCACTAAAGTCAGTTCCCATTTTGTGGGCCGTCTGTAGCGCTGGTCGGCAGGCAAACTGTGTGCCTCTCCTAAGTGTGGTTGGGACCCTGGGACTCGCTGTTGAGCAGCCAAGATCAGCGCTGTGCTCAGAGTGGACCACCAGTAACTGACACATACCAGCCCTGCCAAAGTCACAGAAGGCAACTGGAGAATTTCTCTCAGATGAAGGTTTTTTAACTGTTCAGGATTTTCAAGATAGAAGAAATCACAAACTTTCTTTTCTCTCATCTGAAGAATTATATTAGGGTTAGAATTGCCAGATTAAGCAAAAGAAAGAAAGAAAAGAAAGAAAGAAACAAACAAAGAAAAAGGGGCCGGGCGCGGTGGCTCAAGCCTGTAATCCCAGCACTTTGGGAGGCCGAGGCGGGTGGATCACGAGGTCAAGAGATCGAGACCGTCCTGGTCAATATGGTGAAACCCCGTCTCTACTAAAAATACAAAACATTAGCTGGGCGTGGTGGCGCGTGCCTGTAATCCCAGCTACTCAGGAGGCTGAGGCAGGAGAATTGCCTGAACCCAGGAGGTGGAGGTTGCGGTGAGCCGAGATCGCGCCATTGCACTCCAGCCTGGGTAACAAGAGCGAAACTCCGTCTCAAAAAAAAAAAAAAAAAAAAAAAGAAAGAAAGAAAGAAAAAAGAATGGAAGGAAGGAAAAAGAATGGAAGGAAGGAAGGAAGGAAGACATCCAGTTCCATTTGAATGTCAAAGAAATAATTTTTTTAGTAAATTATATCTCAGCTATTTCACGCTATATATTTATTCTTTAAAAAAAATTATTTTTTTTCAGGAATTCAAATTTAACTGGCATCCTCCATTTTATCTGGCAGCCCTAATAAAGTCCAATTATGTTGGATCCAGAGTTTTCTAATGTAAGGGCCTAAAGTGGCCCTATTTGGTTAAATTGCTCTTTGGTGGTAACCCGGTACAGAGTATACTCTTTAAACTCAACTTGATGTAGTTTTAAGTTCCTACTCCACAGAACTGGCCATGTGACTTAGGATAAGTTTCATAATCCTCTGTGGGTCTTATTGCATCTATAAAATGAATCAAAGAATACCTTTGTTTTAGTGTTACGGGAAAATTGTAAGAAGACAATACAAGTAAAGTGGCACAAAGTGTTCAGAAAGAACACGTATATGCTAGACCTTCTGAGCGAAAAGAAACATGCAAACAAATCTGTGGTATGACGCTTGTTCACCGGGACTCTGCGCCTCTTTCCTCTGGGCCAACTGCTGAAGAGCCCTTGCCATGCACCAGAGGGGCAACTGTCATCCACACTTGCTGGGAAATCCTCTGCTTCCTTCAAATGCCCCAACTGTTAACTTATTTCTGGTCTTCAAATTCTGTCTGAAGAAGCCTTCCTTGATTCCCTTTGACACACCTAACAGCAACCCCAGAGAATTTTAAAAATCACATGTTACATTCATATTCCCCTGATGATACATCCTCTTTTCTCTTGCAAGTTTCTTCTGCATGTTTACATAATTTTGAAGTTACCCCTCTAGGCCTAGACAGCGTTCATATCTAAGTTTGATGCATTATATGAGCGAATCCTCCTCAGAAAGAGTTACATAACAGTTGCAAAGTTAATCCCTTGATCCTAATGGTGCTCAGGATTTGCACTAGGTAACCAGAGCAGTCGACTAATCCCTATGCAGTTTCTGTCATAGATTTACCCTCCAATTCCCTCTGCAAAACCTTTAGGAAGGGTAAAACAACTATGACCTTTGTCTGCATTGGTAGCCAGTCCTGATGCCCATAAACACCACTAAAAGCTAACCTCATCCTGACCACACTTTTCTAGAAATTCCAAGGGTACCTGGAGCTGAATAATCCTAAATGTATTATCAGATGTGATTTTAGCTGAAAGAAGTTTCACATTTTTTCCTCCAAAATAGTCAAGCAACTTATTCCTTCTCAAGGCAGAACATTTTACTGTTTTTAAAGCAACGTTAGTCCTTCCCCTTTTGATGATTACAAACTGTTTATCTGCAGAATAAGTGGATGCAGCAAAGTAATATTTCAAGGCATACTTTTGTAGGGGACTGGGGTTAGGGTCAACTTAGCAAAGTTAAAGATTGGTATAAAGCAACAAATCATCTTCGGTTGCTTTATACAGCAAAGGCAAGCTGTATACAATGACAGGGGATAATCTTTCATAAATTCCAACTAAAGAAAAGCAGTTTTAGAAGGTTCCTGAGGCAGCCTCTCTGATGCTGCTGTTATCACTTTAAACTTCCAGCTCTGTTTTTCTCAGCAAGGATATAGACAGATAGACAAGTCCATTCTTGGTGAACTAAGAAAGAGGCTGGAGGGAGCTAGGAAGGGAAGTACTGTTGGAGTTGAGCCAATAAATATCACCCAGGGTCCTGCTGAGGCAGAGAAAATCACTAATTTGAAAAGCAAAGCAAGACGCAAACCAAAGTCATAAAAAAAAAATTACCGAAAATCCAGCCAGCACCCTGCTTCAGAATGGAACAAACAAACACTTTGACCTCAAAGGGAGGAGGCTCAGCCACCTGCACTGCCCTGCGGTCATTCTCATGCTCACTCTCAGCTCCCCTTCCCTTTTCCCTAACACTAAAACACCAGCCCACTGGTGCCTGGGCCAAGTTTGCAAGCACATCCTGGGAGTAAAGAACTGTTTTCTCTGTGGTTATTTAGTGCCACGGATCCCTCGATCGTCAGAAAACTGTTTACTATGAAGCTGCAAACAGGGAGGGTCACTATTGGCTCCTTGCAAATGAATTCAGCAATCAAACTTTGCAGCGACCTTGTAATAATCAAGTTTCGCTGAATTGATTGTCCCTTGGCATAACAAGAAGGTCTGAGTGTATCTGCTTCATGTTCTTTCCTGTTTTCAGCCCCAGCCTCAGCCCAGGCCCATAGGTCCAACATGTTTTCTTCTCTTTTTTTTTTTTTTTTTTTTTTTTTTTTAAGCCTGATTAACCCTCCAAAGCCCTTCAATTATATCCTGTTCATATTCACCAGAAGTTCAGAAATACTCACGGAGCTGAATGTTGTTCCTGTCAGCTGCCCAGCTGCCTTCTTTGCAAAAGACAAAAGGATCTTTGCATCCTGATTTATCTCTCTGTAATGCCCTCATGCTGCCTAATCTCACCGTCATAAGCTCAGAACAACAACCCAGGTGCAAAGAAGTCAGGAGAACACGGGGTGAGGCTGGGACAGGCTTAGGGGTTTTCTGATAATTAGGGGCTCTTTCAAAACTGAGTTGGGCTCCCTCCAGTCAATAAACAAGTATTTTATTCACAGAAACACAAAAAGTGTTGCTATCCAAGGGTAAATTTCAGTTTGTGAGTTAATAAACTGTCTTTTTTTTATTCTCACCTTTAGTTTTTGCTACCCCCATTTCTTCCCTTTCCCTGACAAACACATACCTATGCACACAATCACACATACCCATATATACAGTGCCAGAATTACTATGGGGCTTAGAGAATAGGAGAGAAGAGAGGAAGCCACAGTGTCCCCTGCTATACTGGGGACATTGAACATGTGAGCAGTGACACTGGGAAATACATGATATCTCTCCCTAACTGGTATTGTGTGTATTTCCTCAGAAAGATGGAACTTTAGAGTCAAAAATGATATCAAATTCAGTGATATCTGACCGAGAAAGGGCCCAAATGACAGCTAGGAATTGTTAACTGAAGACATTTATTTGAGAAGCAATTGCTGGATCTTCCATACCTAAATGTTTCAGGGTGTAGGGTCTAGGGTACAATCCAATTTACTGAGACTCAGTCTTCCCATTATATTGATCCACTAGTATTAATTAGTATATCACTTTATACCATTTTAAATAGATCTCAACCCATATGCTAGTTATCAGTAAGCTCTTTTGACAAATTTATCATAGAAAGATTAAGTGACTTATTCAAGGCCGCAAATAAAATTAATAATGGAGCCAGGAACAGGGCCCAAATCTGGGAACAATTGTCTTTGTGCTATAGTACATCAAAGCAGACGTGGACCAAGATGTCTGTTTTCTGGTCACTTTGATGTCTCATTAGTGAATTTCAGTGTGCCTTCCCCAATTGTTACCTATTAGAGAACTACACTCCATGTGATTATAGAGAAAGAAGGTCCATTTTTCCTTCCTGGGCAGGGAGAGATTCTTAACCTTCACACCTAAGCAGATTACATGAGCAGCTAAACAGCTTAAGAGTCGTTCATATGCTCTCCCATGGTCTTTACCAAAATTCCTCTGAGTTTTTAAGGCGGCAAATATCTTGCAAAGCCAGGACAGTGTTTGGTCTCTGGATGGTCCTTCTACTTTTTTCTCTGTACCTCCATTACCATTCACATCTTCCTTTACTGCTACAAACCAGGCACGTGAATGTTTAGATATTTATCTGTCAAACTTTTACATATTCTCCATTTTCTGGATGAAAGAATGCAAATTTTAAGGACAGTGGAAAGTGCCATAAGCTGAGTCAATGTTCTAGAATGTTGTTACTCAAAGTGCAGCAGCAGCAACACCATCTGTGTCCTTGTTAAAAATGCAGGATCTCAGCCCTGCTCCATCTGCATTTTAACAAGGTCCAAGGTGATGTGTTTGCCTATTAACGTTTAAAAAGTACTGTTCTAGACCTGTATGCAAGCTTGGGTTTACCATTTATCTGCTATGTGAAAAAATTGTCATCCCTCAGTCTTGGTTTTCTCATATGTAAAATGGATGATTTAGAGTGTCAGGGTTCTCAATTTTTTTCCATCCCAGTACGCATGAGAAAGATCATCTTGCTATTCTCAATGTGGAGTATGGACATGGTTGTGCCATAATTCTTCTTTCTTCAAAGGAAATCCAGGAGAGTGAAGAGTGAGAGGTTAGGGGTGTGGGGAAACTCTAGGTGTATGGTTTGAATAATTCTTCTAAAGCTACTCTAATATGATTCTCAGGGGTTTAGAATTAGAAAATTCTTCAATTGCTCTACAGACTTAAAAATCTATGTTTCTTCTTGTTTTGGACCAAGTCAAGTAGATAAATTTCCTCTCATGTCTCTTGCTAAGTACAGCTAAAAATCCTGGATATTATATATGAAAGAAACATGGAATATGTCAAATTATTTGAGATAAAGGAAACCAAATAGAGACCTTAGATGCAAGGAACAATATGACAGTAAGTTTCCTGAATCTTCTTTTTGTTTTGTATATCCTGATGTAGAGGTAGGAAAAGATAGTAACCCCAAAACATCAAAAGGAGTGAAAAAGCAGAAAAACCTCCCCCGAAGCCTGTTTTCTCTAGACAAGTGACCAATAGAGTAGCAACCTAGCATGATAAAAAAAACATTTAAACAAAAACCACTCTACTCCAGTCAAACACCTTGGAAAAAAAACACGACATAACTCAGAAAAGGCTGAGTGGAGAGCCAAGACTTTCATCTTGATTCAGCTATGATGGGGTGACTTTCTTCCACCTTAGCTGGGTAGTATCAGAGAAAGCCACATTGGGATCTTGGACTTTCATCTCCAACCAGTCATAATGAGGCCACCTTCTTCTCCCTACCAGAGTGGTATCAAAGAAGCCCAAGTGGGAAATTCCACCTCCATTCAGAAATAACGCAGCATGTAAAAAAGAATAAAATAAAGATTTTAGAACTAAAAATAGAATAATCAACATAAAAAACTCAATGGATGGGCTCGAAAACAGAATGAAGAAAAAAGAAGGAATCAGTGAACTTGAAGGTAGAACAATAGAAATTACCCAATCTGAACAAAAGTCAGAAAATAAACCCAAGCCCCAACAAAAAAAAAGTAATAGAACCTCACAGATCTGTGAGACCAAAGGACCTAATTATGTCAGCAGTATCTCAGAAGGAAAGGAGAAAAGAGGTGAAGCTTAAAAAGTATTTGAAGCAATAATGGCTAAAAATTTTCCAAATATAGTGTAGGACATAATTGTATAGCATCAAGAAGGTGGAGAACCCCAAAGGGATAAACTCAAAGAAATTTACATCAAAATACATCACGGCCAAACTTCAGAAAAGTAAAGACAAAGAAAAAAATCAGAAAGCAGTGAAAAAGAAACAACACCTTATCTCTAAGAGAAATAACTCAACTGACAGCAGATTTCCCATTAGAAACCAGGAGGGCTAGAAGGATGTGGCACATTTTTCATGTCCTGAGAAAAAAATAACTGTCAACCCTGACTTCTACGTCATATGAATTTATCCTTCAGGAACGAAGGGGAAATAATGACATCCTCAGACAAAGGAAGACTAAGAGAATCTATAATCAGAAGACCTACTCTAAAAGAATGACTAAAGAAAATTTTTGAAACAAACATGATAAAAGAAAGAATTTTAGATGATCTGAAAAGAAAAACAGAAGATAAGAAACTCAACCACCTTGAGCAAGGCTTGGTGGAGAATGCAACATTGTTCAAGACACTATGAGATTCTAAGGGTCTGGCCATCATCTTGGATAAGAGATTCATCCACCGTTCCCTGTTTCAAGTTGCTGCTCTTCCTAACTGTCTCTACTACTCTGGCTTCTACTGACTCTCAGAGGATTGGTGTAGGCTGGCCAAGCAACAACCAATATACATTATCTCTGTTGGATGAAGCTCTTTTACCAGATACCTTCATAGGTCACTGCCTACTCTAGTGATGGCTGATTTCTGGTCAGTTTATCTCTCATCTTATCAACCAGGTAACGGAGCTATATGGCTATAAGCAAAATGACCAATCTCAAAGGAATTCCTCCAAAAGAACTTTGGTGTGTTGAACACTCTAAGCTTTTACAGAAACAAGAAATAAAACTAACAGAAAACTCACTATTGATAGACTCAATAACATAAATAAATCACAGAAATATTTTGCTAAATGAAAAAGTCCACAGTCAAAAGAGAGAATACAATTTGACTTCATTTGTGACATTCTGGCAAACCAAAACTATAGGGTTGGAAAATAGATCACTGGTTGCTAGGGACTGTGATTGAGTGAAGTTGACTCCAAAAAGAAAATATGAGAAATTTTATGAGTGGTGATGGAATTATTTGGAATTCTGATCATAATGGTGGATACATGACTTGATGCATTTGCCAAAACCCATATGCCCATCACAAGGACTAAGCTCTACTGTATGCAAATTTTACAACTAGATATGATAAAATTATTTTTTTAATCTGTATCCTATAGCCCTATAACTTTTGGTTCTTGATCCATTCTGACAGAAGGAAAAGTATTATTAATTATATATTGGAAAGTAGAGTGCAGGTAGTAAGTAATTAGAAAGTAATTAAAATTTAGCTGTCCTTTAGCTGCTTATGCAAGTGCTAATCTCTAATCTTTCTTTAGTGCTTCTTAAAATACCAGTGAGTGGGAAGACACATTAAAGTCACATTTCCTACACATTTGGACTCTCCTAGACTGAACTTCCCACTCTGACTAAGGCGTAGTGGACTCCAAAGGGGAACACACTAAACATGAAAAAGAAATGTACAAGTCTGGCCCCTCTTTCCCCTAAATACCTTTTGTTTAACTCTCCAGAACATTAGTCTTGGAAAACACTTAAGAATTAAAAACACAATATTATTTTCCAGAAAACAGATAAGAGGAAACACTTCTCAACTCATTTCATGAGACCTATTTTACAATGACACCAAAAGAAGAAAAAGACAATTAAAAAGGAAATTACAAACCAGAATGTCTCATAAATCTAGATGAAAAAATTCTTAACAAAATATTACCAAATCAAAAACAGCACTGTATAAAAATAATAATATACTGGGGATCAGGTGGGATTTATTCCAGCTTTCAAGGCTTTTTAATTATTCAAAACTTAATCAACGTAATCCATTATATTAACAAGCTAAAGAAGAAAATCACATGATTATATCAATTGACGAAGATATGATTAACAAAATCTAAAATGCATTAATGATAAAAACTCTCAGCAAACTAGGAATAGGAGAACTAGGAATCCTATGAGAACAGGATTCTCATAAAGAATCTATGAAAACCTACAGATCAATGAAACAAAGTAGAAAACCCAGATATAGACCTATACAAATATGCCCAATTAATTTTTG